GCTGAATTATGAACATTTTTCATGTCCTCAACTCTGGGTCAGGATAAATCACACTCTTTTCTTTCTTATTATTTTCATGGGGTCCATGACACGGTCTCTCAAAGTCATGTGGTGTTGAAACATGAAGACAAGTAACATCTGTGGGGAAAGCCCAGTGTCAAGCCAGAAGCTATGTTCTCAGTCGGCTTCCTTGTCTATGCTGCAGGGGGAAGCTATTTGTAGAGTATTCCTTATTTATATTTGTGTAATGACAACTTTGCTGGCTCTGAAGGTGAGCAGGTACTCTATCTCTGATAGGCCTCTATACAAAGAAAAAGACTCCATGGATATCCAAAAATCAAAACAGAATTGAGTTATGGCTCCCACCAATCAGTGGGATGTAAAGAAGAGTGTTTGTAACTCAATGGTAAGTAAGAGTTACATTCTCAGCACTCTGGTCAGGGAACAAAGAGAATGCCATTGAAGGTGGGGTGTGTTACATCCTGGCAGCCTCAGGGTCCCTGAGACTTGCCAGATTCTATTCATCTGGTGTGAGGAGGGTCATCAGTTCAGCCAGCAGTATCTGGTATCCACAGCTACAATGGCATGACCCAAAGAGAGGGCAAGAGGACTTTTTCTTTGATGGTCTGGACTTAATGCAGTCATACTTTTATTGAGAGGGATGCACATTCATAGATTAGTCCACAAAAGCACAAGTTAACTCACCTATGCTTTCTCATTATCCCTCTTAAAGCCCATCAGGATGTATCTCAAATCTCCTATTTGTATGTAGTACCATACCTGAGTGTAGGAGGAGCTCAGTAATTGAACAGCCCCTTGAACTTTGCCTAAAGGACATAACACTGCCCCAGACCGCATTTTCTATTATTTCCTCAGTCCCTTTCCAAGGAGATGATTAATTGGTGAGGCCCTGGGGAAGAAGCTGGGAAAAAGGAAATCATGAACATCTCAATGGCTTTGTAGAACAAATTTGACACTGGGGTCTTCTTAGTTAGGAGTCTTGGTTCCAAGCAACTGAAATCAGCTTTACCTCGAGGAACTTGGGAGGGAGAAGTTTGTATTATAAGACTCTGGGGTAGAATATGATCTTCAAGGGCAGGGAAGGAACCATCATTGGGCTTGGGTTTGAATCCAAACATGTCATCAGGTCTCTCCCATGTCTTGTCTTAGCTTCTCTCTATGTATCTGGTCTTCCCCTCTCTCTTGCTATAGTCTTTCTTTTCTAGTTCACATGACTAAAAATGCCCACCAGCATGTTCACCATGGAGACCAGGCAGACTGAAGCTGGGGCTTCTTGGTATTTGTTCTATATTCCCAAGAAAGAGATTTTAACCCTTTGGGGTAAGATCCTTTTACCAGATGGAGAGTGTATGAGACAGAACAACTCCCAGCAGAGATACTAAGCATATAGCTCAATTGGTGGCTATTCCTTCTGTGATACTAATGCTTCAAGATAGTCCTTCTCTTCCCTAGGAATGTTAGGAAGGATTGAGGAAGAATCCCAACAAAGTGTCCAGGAAACACTTTATTAAGAGGCTAATGAAAGATGCTACTAAGATAGGGGACCTAGGAGATGGCCTTGTGACATGAACAATTCATGCATAGGATCAGAACATTTCATCAGTTAGTTCTTTGGAATATGCCCTTCTGTCCATCCTCATAGCCATTATCTTCTTTGAAGTCTCATCCATTTCTTCCTCAACTACTTGGTGGCCTATTTGGCCTCCCTACCTCATAGTCTTCCTATTCCCACTCCTGTTCATTTCCTGTAGTGCTTTCAGAGACTAGGATTCCTAAAATTCAAGCCTGGCCATGTCCCCTTCATTCTTAAAAATGTTAATGGCTCTAATAGCCCTAAGAAGTCCATATGCTTTGCTCTACTCTTCAAGATACCAACCAGTGGTTTTGGCTTTACTTCCTCATCATGCACATCAACCAGAAGGTATATTTTAGATTTGTCCAACTCAGCTAACAGGAAGGGCAATAGAATCAGACCCCTGGATTTATGTTTTCCCTCACAGCCACCTGGCTCTGTGACAGAAGAGAAAGTACTTAAGTTTCTTCCTTTCTAAAATAAAAACTAAATATAATATCCACACATAAGTTTGTGGAAAGAACTAAATGAAATAGCCCACATAAAGTGCTTTAAATGATGCCAAGAATATATGATAAGGATGCAGGAAATACTACCTATGTTCATCATCATTAGCATCACCAATTAAATTAACACCTTGGTCAAACAAATAAGCCACCATTTTGATTCCTAGACTTCCAGTTCTCATGAATTCCAAATTTTGCTATCTCAATGATTTCTCTGAAGCCAGGTTGAACATTATTCTTTATGTATGGCCAAAAGGAAGCTGGGAACTCTAGATATAATGAATAAAATGCTGCTTCGTTAATGAACTCTTAGCCATGCCTTCCTCAGAGGCATCTAAAAGATAAGAATACTTCTTTTTTTTTTTTTTAAGATATAATGTTATTTTTTTTTTCCTAATCAGACTGTGTGGAGCATTCCAGTTCTTAACCTTGAGCTGCCCACACAGGAACCAAAGGGCAGAGGACATGGACTCAAGATGGCTGCCACTAGGTCTGTGGAACGCAGGGTATGAGCTATAGCACCTAGCTTGTCTCCACTGTCACAGGGGAAGGATATAGCAACCCTGTAATTCATTACCAGTGGAAATAGAACATCATTGAAGAGATAAGGGCAACAATGGCCTTCTATTCAGTGATAAATTACTAACAGTCGCATTATTTTCCCTTATTTATATATGGGTCTCTTTATTGAATTTAGGGGGGAGATAAATAAACGATCTGCCAAGCGTCTGGTTAATATTACTTCTCAGGGACTCGTTTTAGGCCCAATTAGACTCCTACTGAAAGCTTTTCAGGAGGGAGAGACATAACATTTGTTTCTGACAAGAACCCTCTGTTTGCCTTATCTGTTTCATTTGAGAGGCCGTCGACCCCTAACTTCTTTGGTTTAAACAAACTCTTTCCAGCCATGGAGGAGTTCTTGAACTTGATCCTCGCCACACAATGTGACTGGGTGTCCTGGCTGCAAATCTGAGGTCCCCTGTCATCTATAGTCAGACTTAGTGCTTCCTGTTGGCCACCAGGAGACAGTGAGGGACATGGTGCTGAGTTTCACCCCTAATGCATCAAGACAAAGATTCAGTTTTCAAATTTGAATATTCTTTCCTGGTCAGAATTGGGATTTTTTTCTTTTAATCATAGCATTTACATTTTTTTTTTTTTTAATTTAAGGAGATACTAATACACATGGGTTTAGAAACACACAGCTAGGGACGCCTGGGTGGCTCAGTGAGTGCCTGCCTTTGGCCCAGGGCATGATCCTGGAGTCCCGGGGTTAAGTCCCACATTGGGCTCCCTGCATGGAGCCTGCTTCTCTCTCTGCCTATGTCTCTGCCTCTCTCTCTCTGTCTCTCATGAATGGATAAATAAAATCTGTAAAAAAAACAAAAAAACAAAAAAACAAAAAACACACAGCTGGTCTGTGGCAATGAAAAATAGCCCTAAGCCACAATAAAAAAACAAATAACCCAAAGTTTCCACTAACATGCTGCAGGAGGACTGTAAACTCAGAGACCCTCTTTATTTTCAAGATCTGCCATTCTATTTTAGTATATGTGCTGCCGAAGCGAGCACAAGATCTGCCATTCTAACACTCTGACTCTGCATACTATATTGAAGGCATCTTTCTACATAGGCCTAAGGAACTTGTGGTCTTTCTTTGTTAGCCATTTCAGAGATAATACCTCTGAGAATCTTTCCCTGATCCTAGGTCTTTGTCTCCAAACAGCTGATTGCTTTGCTGGGCTTCATGTTGGCACCCATTACACTGCTTTGCTGTGTGTGTCTACACACTCCTTCTTGTTCCAGATAGTGAGTTCCTGGAGGACACACCACATTCTCTCTGTATCTTCAGGGTTTAGGAGAGGGTTTGGCATGGAATAGGTGCTTAGTAAATATCCCTAGATCATTGTAAACTATAATGGGAGAGTGTTTCTCTCCCTGGAGTGCTGGTCTTAGTTTTCTTTCTTTGGTGTTATTATTTGAGAAAGGCATCTCTGTCTCACCAGACTGTAATTTCTGAGAACTTTGAGGGGACACAAACACTCAGTCTATAGCAAGTATCTATCACTTCAACCAGGGAATGAGGTTTTTTTTTTTTTTTTTTTTTTTTTTCCTGAGAGAGCAGAAATTGCCTCCCCTATGTATACACCATTTCCTCAGTGTCTAGCACAGTGCCTGACATTTAGTTGATACTCGACATATGATCACCAGGTGAATGAATGAAAGACACTGGGGCTTGGGATTCAAGGCCTATGCATGTGAGGCAGTATGGCAGTACCACGTAAGTGCCACATAGAAGACTGCACGTCTGAGTCGAGCTTGGTTCGAATTCCAGCTTCAACATAGCCCTTGGGTAGAGACAAAAACAAAAACAGGAAAACAAAACACAAAAGTTAACCTCTTTGTACTTCAATTTCATCATTTGTAAAGGTGAGAAAAATCTTAGGGATGTTGCTAAGAATAAATAACCTATGACTCTGAAAGCTTCTACTTCACTTAGAGGCACCATTTTGATGTTAGTGACTCTCATTGACTCATGTCCTAGCCTTGACTGCTTCCCTGATCTGCAGTGAAACAGGTCCAGGTGAGGCTCAATAAGAAGTTCTGGGCCCTGGGTGACTTTCACCTTGCAGAAGCCATGGTACCTGAATGAGAGAGTCACCTGGGCAGAAGAGGATGAATTTTTATGGCAACAAGATCTGTCCCTGGTCCCTTCAACTGTGCATATTCCTTGATGGGGGTCTTGAATGGGCTATGCTTGTTTTGATCATCAGTGGTTCCTTTTTTTTATGGAATCCTCCTTACGTCATCCCACATGGCCCATTCATTCTCTCTCTGTGTTTCTCTGTTTCACTCTCTGTTTCTTTCTAACTTTGTCTGCCCCTTCTTTGATCTTCCAGTTGAGCTTGGTGCCAATTTCCAGCTGGGATTGAACGAAGTCAGACAACCCTTCCAAATCATAGGTGAGTGGGTACAATTTGGGAGTCTGGTAACTAACGTTGTAGCAACAGGCTCTGCATCATCCTACCCAATTAGTGTGCTGAGTTTTGTCTAAACCTTTCTCTGTGTCCTGCATGCAGTTCACCCTTTCTCATCTGCCACCACCCAAACTCATGCAGGCTCACTGCTTTGCTCTGAAATTGCTGAAGGCACTCTGGCTAATGAGCTAACTTCTGGCTAAAATTCAGTTTAAACTCTGAAATCCTTCACATTGCTACCAACATTATTTTTTTAAAACCAAATTGGGAGCATTATATTCCCTTTATCCCATCTCTTGAATGAGTTTCTAATTCTCCCAGTTAAATTTCATATGCTTCCTGAGATTTAATGCTCTGGGTATAATGTGCCTTTAACTCAGCTTTCTAGCCTCATTTACTTCTGAATCCTACTAACTGCCGACTCTGACATCCCCCTCAAGCCCTTTTTAGGGACAGGGAACATGGAACACTGCCTCTGTTTCCACCCATTTCCATCCATATTTGTGCTATTTTGTGTATACCTTCTTTGCAATTTTAAAGTCACAATCACCTTCAATTATCACTCTTAGGAAATTTCCTAGAGTCCTACAATTAAAATAAATTTCCCTTCAACTTTGCTCCCAGAGCAATTGGACTGTGGCACCTTTTAGCCCATCACAGCATGAGTGGTTTCCAGAGCTATACTTACTGCAGTGTCTCAATCAGGTCAGGGTGCTATCGCAATACCTTTGACTGAGGGGCTGAAGCCACAAACATTCATTCCACACAGTTCAAGAGCCTAGGAAATCCAAGGTCAGGATGCCAGCAGATTTGGTGTCTGATGAGAGCTCTGTTCCTGGTTTGCAGATGGCTGGTTTCTCATTGCATCTCCACCTGGTGTGGAGACAGAGAGAATGAGAGAGAGAGAGAAAGATCATCTCTCTCATGTCCTTTTTTTTTTTATAAGGACACTAATCCCATTCATAAGGGCTCCACCCTCATGACCTAATTAGCTCCCACAGGCTCCATTGCCCAAACTATCACATTGGGGTTTAGATTTCAACATATGAACTTTGAGGGGACACAAACACTCAGTCTATAGCAAGTATCTATCACTTCAACCAGGGAATGAGGTTGTTTTTGTTTTGTTTTGTTTTGTTTTGTTTTAGGACTGTCTTGTTTCCATGCTATCCCTCAGCTCAGTCTAGGACACAGTGAGTGTTAATATCTCTATGGGAAATGAATTTTAATAGTTTTCCCATAGATATCCTTTTCCCCTTTTATTGCCAGTTCCTTTTAAAGAACTACTTATTATGGAAATTTTCAAAGTACACAAAAGTTGAGAGAATAGTTTGGCAAACCATGTATTCATCATCCAGTTTCAAAAATCTTGTCCATCCTTTTAAAAGCAAGACTCTTATGCAGACAAAGCCTTTGGTGGTGAGGGGCATAAAGACACCATTCTGTAGTGCCCAATTAATTCAAATCAAGTTTGAGCAGAGTTTCCTCCCCCAGAATAACATCAATAGGACTCCCAGTGAAAGGATGTCTTCCTAAGGCAATTCTGAAGACAAAAATGCAATATAAGAACACACTTCCCAATAATGTGAAGATGTATGGCTCTACTAAATAAAAATGTTCCCTTAATGTACTATAAAAAAAATAAAGATGTTTGGTTAGATTTATCAACCTGCTCCAGGAGCAGAATTAAGTTTCCATGGTACATTTTTTCTACTTATTTAAAAACACCTGAGTTGTTATGTAGCTAGTTGGACAACCGCTTCATTATATAAGTATAATACATGTCTGCCCTAAAGATTTATGGTTTTAAAAAAAGGCTTCTGTGTTCTCAGAACTGTGGGATACATGTTAGTAGATAAAATGACTCCTAAGAACTCAGATATGGATGCAATTAGCTACATGTTAAAACATTACTCAAGATTTTAATAAATTAATAGTAAGACATTTAATCTAGTAGAGGTTCTATGTTCTCACAAAATGAAATTAAAGCCAACTCAAAAATTTGAAGTTTTGCAGCTTGGAAATCTAATGACAAAGCAAGCTGGGGACAGAAATCTTTTATTCTCAATGGGATGGATCACCCCAGGAGATTCATAGTTGGTGATAACGAGTGTATGTTCATATTGACATGTCATTATATCACATTCTCATTTTAGAATTGTGCAAAGTTCATGGCCTAAAGTTCTAACAAATAGTGCATGAGGAAGGGTCACCTGGGTAACTCAGTGATTGGGTATCTACCATTGGCTCAGGTCATGATCCCGAGGTCCTGGAATTGAGTCCTGCATCAGGCTCCCCGCAGGGAGCCTGCTTCTCCTTCTGCCTATGTCTCTGCCTCTCTCATGAATAAATAAATAAAATCTTAAAAACAAAACAAAATAGTGCATGAGGAAAGGTTTTTCTCATGTCTTTGCTCCTTACATAAGCTGTTCACTGGTATTGCCTGCAGCTTCTAACCCAGGCAATTCATAGCCAGGAGATGATTGAAAACAATCCAATACAGAGTGCTAAAACAGTGACCCATGTCTGCCAAGCTCCTGGAGGGAGTAAGACAGAGTGAGGCAGAAGGCTGGAGAAGGCTGGTGAGAAGCTACTACAATATTATGAAGGTGAAAATCAGAAGGCATGGGGTTTCATCACTTCTTTGAACCAATTATAAACTCCATTTATGATGGAACCAGGAGATTTGGAATAAGCCAATGAAGTTGACAGCAGCTTCTTCTCCCAAAGGCTTCCATAAACCTGGACTAGTTGAGTATTAATTTGTTGACTTTTTTTTTTAATTTGTTGACTTTTTTATTTCCTCTTTTCTCTCTCAGTGTGAGCCCAAAAGAGCTGGAATATTACATTTCCTTGGGAAAATCACTCCAAACTCATCTTAGCAGCTCTACCTCAACCAATAATCCTGTTTATCAAGATAGCAGTGCCTTCATCATCAATTAATTTATTTGCTTAAGTTGAAGTAATGAATGATCAGTCTCCCATGGCTTCTCTCCAGTTCTCAATCTCTCCTGATCAGGACTGACATATCAATGTAATGAACGGCCTCTGTTCTCTTGTCTTCCAGCCATAGAAAACACCACCACTTCCAATTAAATTCTACATGATTTATGGAAACCCACAAGCTCACTTGCCTTAATTCTTCCTTCTTCTGCTCTTGTGATCCTATTAAATTTCTTCCTTAAAATCTAGTGCTCCTTACTCTGAAATGGTGTGGGTTGTCTGCAAAAAATTTGGAAAAAAGAATGGGCTAAAGGAAATCTGAAAAATAGTAATAGCTTCCTATCACTTAATGAGCAGTACCATGTTCCCAAAAAAAGGCACTGTACATTTTAGTAAGGAATATATTCATTACCTTAGTAAATCCTACAAATCTCTATAATCCCCCCTTGAAAGAGGGCAGATTGTCCCTGCTTTATGTATATGAGAAACAGAGACATGGAGGGATAGTCTTTTCTAAGGTTCCGTAGTAAGTGGCAAAGCTGAAGCAAGGAGGCCTGGTATGTTGTTGACATCATGTTACTCATGATTACTAATCTTGTTCCATGCTATGGTTAGGTATCCATGATCTGTATACTTGTAGAAGTCAATGAAAGTATTACTGATTCCTAAAACCATTTTTAATATTTCAAACACGGAAATTAATTCATGCATTTCCCAATGAAATGGTGGCACGGTCTAACAAAACATGTTAATTTTCTTTGTTTGGGCTGGAATTCTTTTTTTTTTTTTTTTTTTTTTTAAATTAACCCAGAGCAGCAGTTCTGGTTGATTAGAGTACTAGCAAGGTGAAGGAAGTCTCCTTAATGCAGTTTGACATTCAAACCAACCAACCAATCAAACAAACAAACAAATGGAAATTTAAAATATAGGTTCATCGGATAAAAGAATGACAATAACCATGAGAATATTTGGTCTTGTAGTGAGGAGAACACTGTTTTGTAGAGACAGGGCAGGTATATGTGCAAACTCCAGACACATGCAATGTTGTAAACATAAATCGAATGCTTTGGCCTATATGCTGCCTTCCTTTGTATCTCCCAGGAATTCTGGATAAATACCAAAATGGGTGGGTTAGGTCAAGGTATCATCTGAACAGTTTTAAGTTGGCCCTGAATAAAGAGTGAGAATTGAGTCAAAACAAATTGAATATGCATTTCCATGTAGAGGAGCATAAACACCGTACAATAACAATCTCACTTGTTCATCATATTCATGTAGCAAGTATGCATTGGGTCAGGTACCAGACTAGATGCCAAGTGTAGAAATGAAAAAGTCAAGGACTATCTCATGGAGCCTTGCAAAGACGGCTGAAGCATCAATAAAACAGTTTACCATGGAATGATTAAAGCTATAAGAGAAACACATACTCAGCAAGACAGTGACAAAAAAGAGGAGTTAAGTAAGGCTTTTCTGACTTACCCAAGCTGAGTAAAACATGTGAGTTCTTTCTTGAAAGATGATGGACCAGGAATTGGCCAGATAGGAAAGGAAAAAAAGAAAAGGGGGAAGCCACTCATCATCCTGAGATATCACAGTGAATATGGATAGTCAGTGAATACAACTCTGTTTTCAAATCATTGAATAAGATACTTATTTTCCAGTTTAGTCAATGGAGGATATGTGCAATTTAATGAAATGAGCTTCTTGAAGTATCTTTGCAACCCTGAGAGATTGACTTGCATAGTGTAGCTGCTCAATAATTTTTTTTTGACTCTTGGTTGGGCATAAGGACATCCAGAACATGTGGTACAGTGAAGAACATTGGAATCTTTTGAAATGTATTGATGCTCAAGCCTTAGAGGAGAGTGATGTCACAGAACTGATTACATTTGTAGGAAATAATGAGGTGGAGAGGGCTGTGGGTAAGCCCCAATGATAAGCATTGATATGGTCACCAGTTGGCCCCAACAAAACAAATATTTATGTTGGGGACTATAGTTTGTTTGGTTGCAAAGGGCAAGGCACAAGAGTGAGTAATGGGGTAATGTCTTGTTAAAAAAAACTCTCAAGAATAGGAGAAAAAGACTTGAATTTCACTAGCATGGATCTATGCTGAGAGCTCTGGTAGAGCAACAGGTTAATGGTTCTTGTTTTGACTTGGCAGCCATTCTGCATAAACTAATTGTTAGTTAATGATATTTTACTGCCTATGTCTCATACAAATTGGTCTTTTCAATCTCATCTTCCCAGAGTGGTTTCTTACTAAGCATAGCATTCTGCAAGACTCAAACCACAGAAGTGCTTGATGGCTTCTCTCTTGTAACATGCGCTTTTTTTGAAGTCATGTGAAGCCATGATAGAAGATAAACTTATGAGCAACTTTCACATGTACTCTGATAAAAAAAAAAAAAAACCAGACATGAGTTTTCTAAATATGGACAGGTCTTTGGGGGGGCATTAAGAAACATTGAAATGATCAGTAGCTTGGGGGAAACATCCCTTTTTCCTAGTATGGACTAGAGAATCACTGAAATGTAGCTAGGGAATATCTGTAGGTTTTACTTCATTAAAATGACTAATATATATGTGGAGATGCAGAGGTTAATTACATGATCTTAGGCAGGCACATGCATCTACAATGAAGAGAGCTTCAACCACCAACATAATACCACTTTAATGTCTGAGGGATCCTAAGTTTCCATTTTCAAATCCTGTGCCTTCCTAAAATTTTCTGGAGCCCACCCTGTTACCAACTTGAAGACTAATGCTTGAATATTAACATATTTAATAGTTAAGTTTTCCTAATTGTCTGAAGACCAACTTGGGACCTCATGGTGTTCTCCTTCCCTGCTAGCCACTAACCCAAATCCCAAAGATTCTGTAAATTGCACCTCTTTCTGGAGGCCTTCCATCATGCATCCTTTGAATATCTTTGGTGCTAGGGGCTGGCTTTGAATGGGAACTGTCCTATCTCTAGTTCCGTTATGTCTGTATAACCTGTGCCTTTAGCTAGATCTCAAACCCCTGTAGACACAGGCACATCTTTTCCATCTTATGTGTTCTCTATCCCAGACCCGAACATGGAATATGCCTTCAATGGGATCAACCTGTGGTGATCCTACCCTGTGCACAATGACATGTACAGAAAGGTTTAAAGGAAACAAGGATATATTGAACACTTACTGTATGCTAGGTCTTGGCTCAGGTTCTTTACATACATTATTAATTCTTATTTATTTAGCAACCCTGAAAGTTAGTACTCACATTTTAGAGCTGGGAAAACAGAATCAGAGAGTGTTAATAAGTAAGAACCAATATTTAAAGACAGAAAAGCCTGACACCAAGGCTCTAGAGCCTTTCTTTTCAATCCTGTGCCATCTTTTATCCTGACCAGAGGCCACTCAGGCTCCTGACTTTAACTAATATACTGCAAAGAGAGTGAATAAAAGGGATAGAGTGTTAAATAAGTCTATGCTTACTGCTTGACACTATTCCTCCACAACCACTGCCCATAAGATATATTGATATGAAGCCTAGGAAGTGAAGCTAGTGCAGTAACTTGTAAGACTTCCCCTAGAAGGTAGAGTCAGTCATTATTATGGGACCCATTTTAAGTGAGATACTTACATCTCACAGTTGCTTCACCCATGGACACTTCTTCCAATTAAATACAATCAATGAGAAAGAAGCAGACGAAAGGAGATGTAGCTCAGAAGGATTTGGTTTTTGTAGGTTCAGTGACTGACTCCTAGGTTTTAATTAGCTTTTTGTTACCAGGACATTCTAAAGAAATAATTTTTTATGACCCTGAGAGGTCTGGCAGTCATTGCTTTTTTAAACACTGATTTGCATATTCAAACATTCAGTCAAACATGAATTGAGAGAGATTGGCCTTTGCCTGTGATGCTGAGCACAGACTCTGTCTCATGCCTCCCTGATTTTACCAGTGCTGCCCTCCCTCCCATGCCATTTGCCGAGAGGAGACATCCTTTCTAACAAATGTCACTCAAACTTCACCTTCCCTGAACCCTGTCATGTTCTTGAAAACACAGGTCCCTCTACCTCTGAGATCCCAACTTTGGGATGCTTTTGGCATCTCTCTCCTGCTCTTCAATGTGTTAAAAGCATGGGTCTCCACTCAAGACATCTGATTATTTGAGGAGGCAGTACTGCATGGTGGTACTGAAGACTATCTGATTTCTGATCTAGACTCAGCTTCCACATGGATAGAAGCGATATCTCTTAGGTTGCTGGGGGAGCTAAATGAGATAGATGATTTTAGTCAAATGCTTATTAGTACATGCCTTCAACTAGCATTAGCTATTTATATTGCTGCTATGCAGCCCCCCAGACTCCCTTTGACCATCTGTTGGGTGCAGAGAGCTGATGGAGACTGGTCCCTATCCACTTGTATGGCCCCTGCTCTGTATCAGGCAAGTGCCATTTGTTGTGCTTGGCATGTTTTCCCCAACTCTCTGTGGCATTCTGATCCTTGTTGTGAGGGTTGACCTAAGCTGCACCTTCTCTGGAGTCTCCTGACCCACCGAGCCCAGGGATCCTACAGACTGAATTCCGACAGTGTGCACTTATCTGGGATGACTAATTGTCACATTCTATCTTCTCATCACTTTGTTTCTCAGTTGTCTACATCTGATGTCAGACTCGTGGTGAGAACCTTGGAGGCAGGGACTGTGCCAGGATTTTCCTCTCTTCTCAGAGGATGGATAAGGGCTGTCCCACACAATCGTAGAGCCTCAGCCATCATAGATTCTGGGACAGTCTTTCAGTTGATGTTTTTTTTTGTTAGTGCCTTCCACCATGCTGGACACTGAAGTACATCTGTGAACAGAGGACCCAAGGCACCCCAAGCACCCCTGGGGTTCATCCTAGCCCAATTTACAATCCAATAGGATTGTTTTTTGTTAGTGCCTTCCACCATGCTGGACACTGAAGTATATCTGTGAACAGAGGACCCAAGGCACCCCAAGCACCCCTGGGGTTCATCCTAGCCCAATTTA